TATAAAGGGAAGATAAAAATTATTAACCAACTAAGAGTTTGTTCTCTCCCACCTTCACAAATGGGGCAAGCAGCAGGCTTTTCATTTTATGGTGAATTTATTTTCATTATAAATGCTGAGGCCCTGTGCTAGCCTCCATTTTCTCTTCCTTTTACTACTTATAATTTCACAATTTAAATAATATAAATCAAAATATTTTTGATATAATCATCGATATCCAATCTCTTAATTGATTATTTGATATAATCATCGATATTCAATTCTTTTCATTCTTCTAAAAGAATAAAATGAGAGGTATTCTCAAATTTACATTTATTTGCTGCAGTTATGGAGAAATATATAGCTCCCTTTTTTTTATTGATTCAACACTTCATTAAATATGAAATTATTTTCTAAAAAATGTTGTGTATTTTTATGATATATTATAAAATTAATTACAGAATTTATATTTGAAATACGAAGCCAACACTGTTAGGAGGAACTACCATAAACTTTGAACATAAAACAAATATAAGCTTTGCTCAGAAAGTAAATTATTTGTACTTATTTTACTTTTTAATAAAAAATTTTTATATAAACTTTATATTTATATGTGATCTATTTACTTTTCTTAATATTTTTATTTACTTTTTTTCTTACTACAAGTAAATATTTTTAAACGATACAAAGAATCGGTGAATTAAAGCATAAGTCCCTTGCTTGATGTCTGAAATACTAAGTAAATATATATTTCAGTATTTTATTTTAATTTTAAAGTTTAATTTTTTATTTAATTTTTTTCAATTAAGTACTTAAATTTGGTACATATTTTATGTTCAATTAGGTATCTGAATTTGTTTTTTTTTTTTGTTCAAATAAGTACTTAGAATTCTTAATTAATTTGAACCAAGAGTTCAGGTAACTAGTTCTGTATAAGACTTCTTTTTCTTATAAATTAGTGAATAAATAAAAAAATTCAATCGTATTTATTTTAATTTTATAAAAAAATTAAAATAGTGAATATGTAAAAAATGTCAATAGCTATAAAATGTATTTCACAATATATTTTTTTAATCCAATTATAATTAGATACATAATATAAATAGTTTTTAAAATGAGAATTAAATCATTTTAATTAATTTTTATTGATATCTTCTAACTTAATAAATATCTAATATAACATTTGTGCGTACTAATGTTAATTAAACTTTAAAGTTAATTAATTTTAATGGGAATATTTTAAAAATAATAATAAAAAATAGAGTTTAATTCATATATACAGACCAACATTAATCAAACCAATTAATATCTACAAACAGGCATTAACCTAACCAAACTACTTATAGTACTCACATTCAAATTGTTAAATTGATGTTGTTTATGAGCACTTGTATATGACTTTTTTTTTTTCTAATCTAGTTTATAATGAGCTAAATTGGCTAAATATTTAAATAAGGACTACCCTTTTAAAGGTTGTTCATATAAAGACTCAAAATTTTAAAAATGGTCAAATGGAGAGCTAATGTCCTTTGAATTTGCTCAAATAAATGTTTAATCTTTTAAAATAGTGGAATAAAATTCTAACATTTTTTATGAGTTTGAGGTGAATAGAATGAAGTATCTTTTTAAAGACTCTCAACCATTTACTAATGAACGCTCATACACTCATAACCGTAAGGAACAACAATAATCCCTTAACTACTGAGATCACTTGATTTATGCAAAAATATAACATTTTTAAATATACTTAAATAAGATCCTAATATGGATGATTGATTTAAATGTCAAATACAGAGCCAGCCCTCTGGGCCAGGCAAGAGGGGCGTTCGCCCAGGGCCCACAAATTAAAAAAAATATGTATAATATTTGCTTTACTTTTTTATAATAAATTTAAAAAGAAAATTATAAAATAATTGGATCCATGAATTTATTAAAGTATTAATTGTCATCATTAAATTTTTATATTAACTCCATTAAATTGTTCATCTTCCCATAAAACTCTAATTCAATATTTCTTTCCAAAAATAAAAAAAAAATCAATTGAATTTTTTACTTTCGGGTTTTCTAAATTCTCACCATCAATTCACCAAATCTCTTTCCTGATTTTCATATCAATTAAAAAATTTATTAACATTATTTTTTTTCTCTTCAAAACTTAATAGGAGGAAAATTTGAAGTATAATTAGCATGTTTCTTTTCTCATTCATTTTTCACAATTCCTCTGAAAATTATTACTCTCACTTTTTAATTCCTCACAAACATAGTCACAATTGTTTACCATCAATTGTGGTGCTTGAATCATATTGAAGACTGCTCTTAAAATTCTAGGTCTTTATTTTGATTTTTATATATATCCAAATTCTAGATAATATCGTTATTTTATTTCCAAATGCTATGTGTTAAAAATATGTTGGAAAACATTGATATTGACACTTATCATCAATGATTTTACATCAAAAAATGCTCATATGCAATGTTTTTTTATAAGTATTTATATGCTTAAATATATTTTTTTGACATTCTTCACATTTTAATGAATTACTATTTTTTTAATTTAAAAAAAATTCTAATATAAATTATATTTTCATATTTCTTATTTTTTTTTAAATTAGAGACCCATTTTTTATTTTCACCCCGAACTAAAAAAATAGTCAAGACCGGTTCTGGTCAAAGATTTACTCCTTTGATGTTCTAAGCTCTAGGGGTAAGAGAAAGAAAAAGATGAGAGGGGGAGAAATGAATATTCATCTTATTTTTCAACGATAAGTAAATTGCATATTTAGTCCTTTTTATTTTAATCCTAATTCAAAAATCCATTTTATGGCCATTTGAGACCAATCTCATTCGATGCCCACGTTTTGACTATCTGCGTTAATCACATACTCACGTGTTGACTAAAAAATCGAGTCGTTACAGGGTAAATTTTGAAATCACCCAGTTGGTTTCAAAATAAACAAACCTTAAATTGTAAAGTTTATGCTCTAAACTCTTTTTGATGAATTACCATGCTTTTGACCATCATGTTTGGTATGAATTACAAATTAGTGCCTAATTTAATGATTGATTATTGTTTGAATGTTTTCGAGTTCGATTTAGTATTGATTAAGAATGTTACATGTTTGGTTAGTAAAAAAATTATTACCAGAGGTAATAATCCTTGTCGGAATCTTATTTTCATATTTTGTTTTCAAATAATATTACCAACATTAATGATTTCTTCAATACAAGCAGGACGTTAATTTGCTGACTGAAATATGATAAAACTATATTTTAATGATGTTTACTAGCATTGTTATTGCTTATAAGTAGTGGCTTGACAATAAAATATTTCAAGCACTGACTTGATGACATTATGTAAACCGAGATTCGATCTACAAAATACAACTCAAAACGATTATGAGATCAAATTTCATCATATCCCAGTCAGTATAACGCCCAGCTCAGACGACAAACAACTTTTTAACAGAAAATGATAGGTGTAGAATATATGAATAGTTGGTGACCATTTTGTAAACTTTAATAGTTGGGGGATTGAACAAAATAATGCCCTATAATTGAGGGACTATTTTGTAAATTCAAATAGTTGAGGGGCTAAACAAAGCAACACTCTATAGTCAAGGGACTTTTTGTGTACTCTATCCAAAAGAAAATATATTATAAGGACAATTTGATAAAAATTATTTTCATGTAGGGGTGCGCGCTCGATTGAGTCAAGTCGAATAAAAAAATTTCATGTTATTCGAGATAACGAGTCTCATTTTATAACTCGAATTGACTTGAAATTTTTTGAGTCGAGTTGATTTATTCGAGTTTTTTTTTAATTTAATTATAAATATTTATAATATAATAGTACTATTTGATTCAAATTTAAACACTTTTTAACAACCATACACAATACATATATATATTTATTAATGTTTTTTCATTTATGATATACATATATTATGCAGAGTCGAGGAATTCAAGTCAAATCCTAAAACCAATATGTTAATTACTAAAATATTTGAGTTATTCGAGTTACTGTTTGAGTTATTCAAGTTGTATTTTATAAATTAATTTGAATTTAAATTTTTCCGAGTCGAGTGGAGCTTATGAAATTATAACTCGAACTCGAGTAGAGTAAAAAAAATCAAATTTTCGAGTCAAGTTGAATTTTACTCACCCCTATTTTCAATTATTTTTATATTTCTTACACCAAACAAAATAATCTTACATTTCTAGCAAATAAATCAAACTAATGTAGCATTCATATCAGTGTATCAAATATTAGTACATCGTGAAACTCTTATTTTTAAACTTAATCTTACATTTCATGAATAGAATACAACCTACTTATATTTAACTAAGACTCCGTAGAAATTTGATCGGTTGGTTAAGTTGTTTGTTCTTTAATATTCATTTAGGTTATAAGTTTTATATCTACTAAGATCACTCTCGTTTATTTTGTTAGAGTCTCCGTTCCTTTTCATTTTAGGTAAGATTAAGATTACCATTTAAAATTTATAAAAAAAATATATAATAAGACTGTGTACGGGATAATTCATTTAAACATGCACACTCTTTTTTTTTCACTCACCAATATGAGGAGAAATTATTTCATAGACCCGACTCATAACGTCATCCATGATCTTAATAAATGACAATCACAAATTTCAAAATAACTTTCAAATAACCATCCATCTTTTATTTACATGTAGTAAAGATGTGAAGATTCACCTTGAAAAAAATGATGTGAACAAATATTATTGGTTGGACCACGGATGAAATGATGAGTCGGGACCATCTAATAATTTCTCATTAATGAGACATTAACAGTCTCTCAAAATTTTTCACATTTCATAAATAGTATTAATTAATTATAGTTATTTCTGCCATTAACAGTCTCTCAAAATTAAAAGACCCCAACTCCCCCCACAGCCCCCAACTTCACCCACAACTTAGTAACCGACCTCCTATTTCCAGTCATCAGTCTTCATCTTGGTTTTGGCCACCCAATTTTAGGTGTTCCAAGACACAAAAAGATGCCAACATCATCTTCGTTTTTAAGGCAGCTAAGTGGAAAACAAGGCTGGAAATCCAAATCCTGTAGGTGGGGAATGAGCAACAACGTTGTTGGTGGGAAAAAATGTGTTGGGTTTCCTGGGACAACCTTAGGAAGTCAGAGAATGGAGCAAGGTGTAAACATGTTTGGCAATGATGGTGGTGACTACGAAGACGATGATGGGTTGGTTCTAAGGAAGAGGGTGATGGTTGTGGTGGACCAAAGTTCACATTCTAAGCATGCAATGATGTGGGCACTTACACATGTTGTTAACAAGGGTGATTTCATTACTTTACTCCGTGTTATCTCCCCAATCCCAAAGTGTTCACACTCTTCTTCTTCTCTTGATACCTCTCTTGAATCACTTTGCAAGGCTTGTAAACCTCAGGTAATGTGCAACTGTTCTCAGTTTCTTTTTTCGTCTTCTTTGAAGGGAAGGGATCAAATCCATCTTTCTTGAAAGAAGATTCTTAGAGTATCCTCTTTTGTTAATACAAATAGAATCTTTATGTACTTAAAAGGTGTTCATTTTAAGAAATAATTTAGGTTCAAGGATCAATTTGTGTAGTTTTGAAATTGCCATAGACCTAAATTGTGATTATTCCATTAAAATTTGAGGACATGTACCATCCCATCTCGGGTACTTCTGTCTTTGTACAATTTGATTTTTTATTCTTTGAAATGTGTACTCTACGTCCTACAGTGTATGAGGTGTATACGGTTCCATTTGATTTTTAATTTTTTTCCTAAACCATCATTTAGTTTTTGGTTTAATTAATTTTATTTATCGAGTTTTCTATATACACCTTAAGATTTGAGTTTTTATATTTTTATAATAAAATAAATTTATTTTATTAATTTTAAATATTATTTTATAAAGCTTTTAAGTTTCTTCATAAATATTTCATTAAAAAATATTTTTGAAGTAAATAAAAAACATTAATAATTCATATATAGTATTTTTTTTAAGTTATCTTCCTTAGTTTGAAGTACAAAATACTTTTTTTACATTATAAAATAATTAAAATTAATTATAAAAAAAGAATTCTTTTCAGTTAGGTTAACCACAATTTTTAAACTTATAAGGAATCAATTTTCAGTTAATCGATTTTTGTTGCTCAACCTAGCATCATATAACCGTTAATAAATAAAGTCAAGTCTAATTATTAGTCAAAATGAATAAAAGTAATAAAAATTACGAAGAGGGACTAAATCCACCAAAATCACATAGTGCAAGGACCTTATTTACAATTTGATCATCATGAAGATTCACATGGAAAACCGAAATGAAATCCAGGTAGAAGTGGAAACAGTGGCAATCCAAGGGCCAAAGCTGTCGACAGTGATGAGCTTGGTGAAGAAGCTTGGGGTTTCAGTGTTGGTACTTGGTCAAAAAAGTCAATCTCCTTTCTTAACATGGTGATGGTTATTCCTCCTTTAACCCTTTAACGGTCCGTTACTATAATAACATCGACTATATAGCGGTAATGGTGTCTTTATTACATGACCCTGATATCTATAATCATTGTAATTACGTCTGCTATGTCTGTAATCACGATAAATATAAAACAACTGAAAATGCGACAGCAACCGTTATTTGAATTCATGCTTTCGAGACTTTCTGATTGTTTTTCATGGCTGATTTTGCAGTCTCTGTGGGAAAAGCAACAATGAAGAGTTTGTGGAGCAATGTATCACAAATATAGATCGAAATTGCTTGACCATTGGGGTTAGGAAGCAGAGCAATGGCGTCGGTGGCTACCTTATCACCACTAGGTGGCTCAACAACTTCTGGCTCTTGGCTTAAACTTTTTACTCATAATGATGTTGATTAAATAATCACTTTAACTCATATTTTTTAAAAATATTTTAGTACTAACATTTTATTTTATAACAAAAAAAATATCTCACGTCTAATTAAATAATCACTTTGATTGCTATTTTTTCTGAACATTTGGCTATAGAGTTTCATTTTAGGGTAAAAACTCTTACTTTAGAACGTTGATAATTCATTGACCAATAATTTCCATTCATGAAAGAGTATCTTTGTTATAAAACAAAACGTTAATATCAAAATACTTTAAAAATATATAGATCAAAGTAACTATTTAATCAAATATTACGAATATTTTTTCAACATTATACCTTTCTTTTTCTCGAGGCTCAAACTCGTCTATGATGTCAAGGAACAACACTCTTACAACTTTGTCAATGGCTCATGACAATACACCCTAGACTAACTTGTGATCGAGTTCAAAAAATATTTTGTAATTCGAATAAATTTGAGGTCTATTTTACAATGAAAAGTATGTTAAAAGAATTCCAACTAATTGAGTAATGTAACAATCTAATAACAAAATAAACATTATAAAAGTAACATTAATAAAAAAAACCCACCATCGGAAGATTGCAAGCAGAGATTTGAAAACACCCCACTGCAAAAATATCCCTTCTTCCATTTTCAGGGTTGGTAAGGGGCTAAGGGCGGGTGTAATCTTGAAAATTTTAAATTCTTATATATTTAATTTTTTTTTTTGTATTTTTATTGATAAATGTTTTGTCTCCTAAAATTTAAATAATTTATTCTAAAATATCACAAGTTCTCTCCCTAATATAAAATACTGGGTTAGTCCTATCAGTTTTTTCCTCAATCCCTCTTTCTAACACACAACAACAAAAACCCAGATCACCAAATTCAAAACCCAGAATCAAAAACCAAAGAGCAACAAAAACCCACCTCACAATTTTATGATTTTGAAGAATGTTCCTAGAAAATTGGATGACCATTTACTTTTCAGTTGATCTTTGACATTGACTACTTTGAAGAAACCATTTTTCATTTTTCCTTTTCGATCTTGGGTGTCTTAATAGTAAAGTGGGAGAAAAAAGAAGTTTTACTTCGAAGTGCATTAAATTTCTAGACATAATTGCACCTCTTTGAAAGAAAAGTAAAGAATAATGTTATACTTTATATAAATTGAATTAATGGAATATCAAACGTGTTTTTAATTAATTATTGAATGAATAATACATTTTTTTGGGATAAATTGATTTTATTATCCAAAGAACCAATGTCAGATACAGACTCAAAAACCCAATCACCGATTACAACACTATATAATTACAACCTACATACAAAAGAATGATCGGTTAACCTATACCCCAAGCATTACAAAGTTGAATATTAACACAATCTAAACGGTTAATTTTCCTTCCTCTAAGTTGAATCCCGATTATCTCTTTGATAGCTTTGAGAATATCTTCTGGTGATCTGGAGCAACCTTGAAAAATTCGTTTGTTTCGTTCCTCCCATACGGTATAGATAAATGCGCACCACAAAAGCTTTAAAATAGTGGTAAGCATGGATTTACCTCTCCATGATTCACAAGCTTGCACAATCATATCCTCCCAAGACAGAGAAGACTTCTTCAATATAGTAAGGAACAACAATTGTTTCCATACATGAGAAGCCAAGTAGCAATAAAAAAACAAATGATCTCTAGTATCAATTGCTTCATTAGAAAGACAACAGTTCACATCATTAACAATTCCCATTCGTTGTAAACGAGCTCTAGTGGGGAGTCTATCCAATAAAGCCATCCATGCAATCATACTATGTTTAGGTAAATGTAAAGGAAACCATACCAATTTATGCCAAGGAGCCTTGTCACCTTTCTCCCTAATTTCCTCCCAAATTGTTCGAATATTCTGTGCTCCAGCTACAAAAACAGCAACAACTTTTGTTCTTGTTTTAAGGATACAGTTTAAGGACCAACTATAGCTAGTGTTTACTTCAATTTGCCAGATATCTCTACCCTTAAAACATTTGCTTTGATCCAAGCAACCCACATAGAACCTTCTCCAGCAAGGATTTTCCGGATTAGGCTGATCATACAAGCTTTATTCCAGCTTTTTAAATTTTTCAGACCGAGCCCTCCCTCTGACTTCGTTTGGCATATTTTAGACCATTTAACTCTTGCACCAGCAGTAGATTTATCGGATCCTTTCTAAAAAAAACCTGGAGCAGAGTTGTTCGATCTTGGTAATGATAGCTTGAGGTAAAACTACTTGTCTGCACCAATAGTTTGCGACATTGAAGAGAATTTCCTTGATGAGCTCCAATCGACCAACATAGCTCAAATGCTTACCAGACCAGGAGAGAAACCTTGATTTAATTTTCTGGATCAGCTCTTCACAATCATTTTCATTAAGTTTTCTTGAAACTAAAGGAATTCCCAAGTATTTGACAGGCAATGACCCGTGGTTGAACTCAGTTGAGAGCTTGATAGAGTCAATGATATTCATTGAGATTCCTGCAGAAAAGAAATCACATTTGGATGCATTGAGCTTAAGTCCAGAAATATCATAGAAAAAATACAGAACATAACAGACTCCCATAAATAATACATTTAATCATCAAACTAAAGGGCAATTTTACCTTAAAATCACCTAAATACATATTATTTACTTGTCAAGCACCGTTTCTTCAAATATTACCGATTTAGCACCATTTGACAGTAAAGCGCGGTTGACCAAACGAGCCTCGCACACGTGGATGGAAGGCGCGGATCACTAAGTGCGCCTTCCGTCCGATCTGGTGCCACGAGGTAAAGCGTGTATCCTCAGGCGCACATTCGATGAGATTTTGACCTTCCATAAATATCTCATTTAATATCGACCAACCGTCCCTCTACTCTTTAAGTAAGTTCTGTTATTGTTTTTATAAGATAAAACTTTTATTATTATAATATAATATAATCATTTAATAATTTATTATTTTATTATATTTTATTGTACTAATTTTTATTGCTTTTTACAATTATAAAATAGAAAGCGGGTTACTGCATTTAGATGGAAATCATATCTCCAGTCATTTTGCCGATACGGTAACAAATTTAAATTGTGTTATTTTAATTATTGTGAATGTTTTATTTATATATTATTTAATATTATTACCGTATCAACAAAATGCCTCGAGATATGATCTCGCCCTCCATTTTACAACCACAAAAGAAATAAAACATAATTAATACAATAAAATTTGGTCAAACAATTAAATATGAAATAAATATAATATAATAAAAAATAATTTTACATTCTAAAAACTATAAAAACTTCTACTTAGCTTGATAAAAGGAATTGATAGAAGAATAATATCATTGTATTTGTTTGTGGTTCGATATTTATAGGGGAAGGGATGACCGATTATCGGCCTAGGTAAATAATTGAAGGGGCAATAATTTTGGACCCATCGAAGGCACGCTTGAGGATCTTTGCTTTACCCCATGGAGCCAGCTCGGATGGAAGAGGTGCTTGATGATCCACGCATTCCATCCACGTGTGCAAGGCGCGTTTGGTCAACTGCACTTTACTATCAAAAGGTACTAGATCGGTAATATTTGGAGAAAAGGTGTCTAACATGTAAATAATATATATTTAGTGATTTTTGGGTAAAAAAAGCCAAACTAAAACTCATCAAATGATCTTAGTGATTAAATGGTGTATTGTTCTTCTTAGAAATTTCATATTTAAGTAATTGCGTCTATAAGATATTTGTACGTTGGCAATAATTAAAACAGATTTTTGAACCTATGTTGTTATTTTTATTTTAACGGTAAAAAAATATCACATATCATTTAATTATTAGTTTAGTTATAAATGGGTCACTTTTTTTAAAGATTATAATTTAGTCACTTAATTAAAGTATCATTATAAACATATCACTTTGCTGTTAAAATAAAAAAAAAATTCGACGCGATTTGATACGATAACAGTTGTAGTCTCCAAAACTCAAACTTATATATTTTATCAATTTGGTTTTAATTCAAAACAATTCAATAAATTTAATCTTTAAAAATTCCATCAGTTTAATCCTTTTTGTAATACTATCAAACCAAGAAAGTCTAATAGATAAAAGTTGGCGTTGGATAACTGTATACGACAACAAATCAATTTTTAATTACTAATAAAAGCCTCCCATCAATGATCATTAACTAATTATATGGTTGAACAAGCTCGAGTTACAGTCTTGCACATTATTTATATAATAATTTATTGAGATATTAATTCTAATTAAAAATATATAAAATTTTCATATATAAACTTGTTCACATTTTGTGACCTTATATTTGTATTTGTTTATTGGTTCGGTTTTTTAATATTGGTTACGTTTCCTTTTTAAACAAAAATCGATCACAAATAATTTTTTTAAAGAAATTACAATGAACAAAAATCTAACAAAATCATATATTTTTCTTTTTTATGTTATACCAATGTCTCATAGTTAGAATAATTGTTAGGGTAAAATAAATAAGGAAGCGTTATAATTAGTACGAAAATCCATTTTATTAATTAATTATTTTTAATCTTGTTTTTTTATATTTATAGATAATTAGCTGTTTTACTTGATATATTTCAAACAACTAACGAGGATGAAGGAGTGTCCATCTCCCCCCAACGAACCAAACCCTAAAAATTAGAAAAATTGAATAACAAATATAGTCCAAAATAAGTGAACCCCTCCCTATAAATTTGTTAGCCAAGGAATAACAAGTAGAGAAAGAAAGAAATGGCTAAAACTTCTGCGATCGCATTCCTTTCCTTTGTCATCTGTATTTCGTCCTCCCTAAATTTTGCCTACGGTGCCGGCCCCGCTAAACAGGACAAGTTCATCATCGTCGGTAAAGTTTACTGCGACACCTGCCGGGTCGAATTCGAGACGAAACTCAGTGAACCAATAAATGGTACATGATCAAATCACTACATTCTTTGTATATATTTCAAATGCACCTATTGACAAAGTTGTGCCTTGGTACATTATAATTGACAGGTGCGGTTGTGAAACTCGAATGCAAGAATCGTACCACTGGAGCCACCACTTTTCAGAGCCCGGAAGCATCGACGAGTCCGTCGGGAGAGTACAAAATCGAAGTGACGGGTGATTACGAGGATTCGGACTGCGACATCAACCTGATAAAGAGTCCTTGGGAGGATTGCAGTGAACCGACCGAAAGTTGGAGGAAAGCTAGGGTTGTCCTCACCGCACGAGATGGCGTCAGCGGCGACATTCGCTATCCGAACAATCTTGGGTTCAAGAAGAAGGAAGCTCTCCCTGGGTGTAAACAAGTTCTTACAGATATGGGCTATTATGAACTCAAGAATGAACTTGGAACGGAAGTAGTCCCATAAAACTTCATATATTCGTCTTTTATGATATTTTATTGCATAATTATTAGAAATAAGATCTCACCAATTATGTTAGAGATCCAATTTTAATATTAATTATAAAATTAAAATCTGATAATGTTGTGGTATATCATATGTCAATGATAGTTTATCATGAACAACTGTATATGTAAAAAGTAATAAAAGATCAAGATAATAAAAGTGCTTAAACATCAATATCTGCATGATCTTGTCCAAATATGAAATTCACTAATAGAACCGCTCTTAAAAAATATTTTAAAAAATGCTTTTATTATTACATAGTTAATTTAATAAATTAATTTTAAATGCTATTACATATAATTACATTTGTTCTAATAAAATCTTCATTTTAAACTAATAAAAAAATTATTTTGAAATATTTTCAATTATGTTTTTATTTATTATCTTTTAGATTATTTTAATCTAATCAAATTTTTATATTTTTATACTAATTAAATCTTTTATATAAAATTTTCTTCGTGATCATAATTTTAATTTAATAAAAAAATGTAAATGTTATAAATTTCCAACCATCCACTTTTATCTATCATATAGTAAGCATGAACTCTGAGCATCATGAAATTCTAACCATCCACTTTTATTAATCTTAAAGAGTATTTCTATTATCAAATTCTAACCATCCACTTTTATCAATGATAGAGTACTTATTTAAACATCAAAATTTATATATAAAAAAAAGGACACATCTATTCCATTATTAAAATTTTATGTTACTAATTTTTCATTTCATATATTTGTATTAATTAGTATATATTTAATTATAAGCACATTTCACACTGTTCATATAATAATTTTTACTTCGTAAATATTCATGCTAATTAAAATTATATATAATTTTCATATAAGTATCATCGCATGTATATTTATGTTAATTTTTCTTTAACTCCATACAATTCTTTTATCCATCTCTTATCTTTAAATTTATATTTACAAACTATTTTTTTTTACAAATTTCTTTCTATATATTCCAAAGAAAACAACAAACTACTAAACTTACAAAAGAATACTACAACACATAAAACCCTAGTCTATACATAATCACTCATTAATCGTATTAGTCACATCTATACGTTTATATGTGATTTTATTTTACACACTATCTCAAATGCTATCAAGAATAATATTACCCTTAATTCCTTCAACATTCTATAATTTCTCTCCTCCTAAATGGAATATATAAAAAAACTCCAAGCAATTCTAAAAAAACAAATGTTAAAAACGCCTTATCTCTAAGAAACTTACATGCCTAAATCACCTCTTACTCCAAATCAAATATAATGTATTTTGGATGTGACTTTCAAGATATAAATGTTAGTTTATCAGTTTTCATAATGAGATACATGATAATTTTTCAGACGCTATATCATAGAAAGAGATAAGGGAAATCGTCCCAATGACTTTCCACTATTTATTGACTGGTATGAAAGGATGGATAATCCATCCCTTGACACACAAAATCGCATCAAAAGTTCTATATTTAAAAAATATTTTTCTAAATTAAAAGCAGAAAAAGTAAGTGAAATTATTTTTGTTTTGCTAATGATTTAACCCTTTCAAATTACTTTCTTATTTTTCTAGTCTTTCCTAATTTAATGTTTCAAGAAGATTGAGTGGACTCCATATGGAAGACTACCAATAAATTTATTGTCTAGTCCACTTGATAAGTAAGTTAAATTGAAACTGCTTTCACATCATTCATATCTTTATAAAAAATAGTTATCCATGATCCTGATATCTCGGTGCAAAATTAACTATATCTATCTAATCAACATCAAATACTCAAGAATGAGTGACATAAAACTTTTCGCCAAAGATAGCTCAATAAGAAACAAAAATTTAGGAGAGGTTCAAAGAAAAATTGGATCGATGTACACAAAACATTCATATCAGCCTAGTCAAGTTGTTGGAAATTTTTGTATAGTGCAGCCGCATGTAATCCTGAACTTGTGTCCCATGTGGCCCTCACTTTCTTTTTCCTTGTTTTTGCTTTACATTCCTTTTATTTATTTATTTTGGAATGTCATAGTTGGAGAAGATAGAGGCGTTCAAAATCAAGAGGAAGATATAGTAGCTACACCACAAGATGCAAATAACCCTATGCAACAACAAGTTGACTAATTGTAAAATAATGGGGAAATACATCAAGTTTTTCCCCCTTTAAAATAACCTTAAATGTGGATTGTGTGCATATATTCCTATAATTATTGGAATTTTTGTAATGCTTTGCATTTATACATATGATTTAAGATTCAGTTTAGATCAGGAATTGATTAAATTGATAACATGTCATATTGAGAGTTAGTTTTATGTCAGAGAAGTTAGTGAATTAACCCTTCAAGATGAATCTTGTAACACCCTAATTTAGTATGACCCAAATATCCATGGATTTCGATGCCACGCGGAACCACTGAAATGGTCAACTCAAAATTTCCTTTTTAAAACATTTAACAACATCAAGTTCATTCATCTTAAATTAAGCGGAATTGAAATCAAGTTTAAAAATGTGGGAGTCTCTTGAATACGTACAAATACAACAAGTAAGTTTTAAATCAAAACAGAGTTATGACTTGATTATACAAAGGTCCATGTAAAATACATACCCTCTAAAATAGAATCAAGACATATGCCGCAACGTCTGATCTGGAATGTACTAATGCGATAGGCTCCTCTACGATCCTTTAATAACCTACGCACAGAAACACATTTCATATACTGAGCTCACAAGCAGTGATGGATCCAGAAATTTACAAATGGGGGTCCAAAATATTAATAGTATTCTTTTCAATATAATGGGTATGCAAAATTTCTTATTTTTTCTTCTTCTTTTAATATATTGAACTATATTGAATATCTAATCTAAAATAATGGGTGTGCATTTGGCCCTCTATGTGGTCACATGCATCCCCCCTGCTCACAAGCTCAATGCCATAAAAATAACTATGCAATACTACATGATTCATTTCGTGAACATGCCAGTGTGCAAAGTCATAAACATGCAAAAGTACATAGAAAACATGAGATAGACCAAGTGGTATGGTCAGAGGAATTTACGTGCATCTCGGACAACACACTAGCCTATCTAGAACGTGATAACTTCAGGGTAAGAACTGGAATTTATGTGCATCAGAACTTATAACCCTTAGTCTATCTTGGATACTCGAGAGGTCGGGGAGAGGTTCTAAATTTACGTGCATCAGAAGCTCACATCCCATACTTATTTTAGTGTAGGGTACGATCCAAAATTTACATTCGTCGGATACGTACCGGTACGATTCGAAATTTACATGCATCAGATGCGTAACACTACCTTTAATATCTTCACAACCTTAGATATATTAATCATGTAATCAGAATAGAAAAACACGATAAATATACCTGAAATCACATCGGCGGGGTTGAACTCCTCCTGAGCTCTCATAACGTACTGACAAGAAGCTACTCGGGACTCTGAACTAGTCATAGACCTGGCAACACCCCTACCATGCTGATCATAAGCATAACTATCACCTCTATAGGGTTTTTTACTTATCTGCACTGATTGGGTTGATCTTTGTTTCTAGCTCAGTGTAGCTCTTTGCGCCTATGGCAAGTCCCAAATAAAATGGTCAAGGGAACCACAACCATAGCATCAGATGCTTATTCCAACAAGTCTGACAATCAGGATATGGTATTCTCACGGATATGGTATTCTCACAGATCCATCAGAACTAGATATTGTTGTGGTCGCCAACAGTATCCTACGAGTTCATAATCTGCCACCGTGATTTAAACTCTGGGCTCGTCCCCTAGACTGGCATGTTAGGTTTCTCCACGAACCTTGAGAACCTTTGGCCCTTTTGGCCTGCGACTGACTAGGTCTTGAAGACTCTGCCATCCCCTGAGTTTGTTTCAAAACATCACTAGAGGCTCTAGCTCTCATCCCCATAACTCTATCAACCTCCTAAGCTTTACGTAAAAATTTAGAAAAAGCCCTAGGTGGGTAAGCAGCAAGATAATTATTGACGTGGATGCATTCCCTAAACCTCTTGTAATGGTGATACTCTGTTGGGATCATCTTTGACACATAATTACTTAACCTAAGAAACTCTACCTCGTATTTCATCACCGAACAATCACTTTGTTTTAGATTAAGGAACTAGTCTCTCAGACTATCGACATGAGCTTCTCTTATATACTTTCCTCTAAACTCTAATAAGAAAAGCTCCCATGTCGGTAACTCAGGCTCCATAGCTAGCTCGACTGTCTCCCACCAGTCAATGACTTCTCCCTTAACCAAGGACATGGCACAATCCAAATTACGCTCGGGAGTTAGGTGCAACTGTCTGAGTGTGCAGAGGGTCTCTTTAAGCCATTTTTCACAGCAATCGAGTCATGGTCTCTCAAACTAAAGAATTCGATTTTCTTATACTGGCATAGATGCTCTACAGGTGATTCTTGAAGTGGCATTATTGGATGGGCTAGAGGTGCATGTAGGGGAAGTGGCGCGACTGGAGTCCTAGGGATAACTCACACAATGGTCTCAATGTAGCTGTTAAATCCTTAAAGAATGTTGTTTCATCAACCCCAACTTCTTTCGTAACCTCAAACTCAGTGTTCGGAACGAACTCATCCCTTGAGTCACTTACTAAAGAGGCACGACTCCCAACTTTACCCTCATGGCTATGATCTGAATCACAATCCATATTTATATTCTAAATAAATAAGAAAAATAGGGTTGCTATGATCCAATCTCAAAAGTATATCTCAAAATTCTAGAGGCATGTATGTATATAAACTTTCACTGACTCTAACTCATAGATCCTAGAAACAACTTAATCTGAAGCTCTGATACCACTAAATATAACGTCCTAATCCAGTATGGCCTGAAGATCAATGGACTATGACGTCACCTGAACCACCGGAGTGGCTGACAAAAAATTATCTTTATAAAAAAATATTCATTTGAATAAATTTGTATCTCG